TATTGTGTTTTTTATTTGTCATCGTTTGTAGTTGAACTGAGACAATTGTGTTTTTTATTTGTCATCGTTTGTAGTTGAATTGAGACGATTGTGTTTTTACTTTAGTTACATTCAATGCAATTCTAAAACAGTTAATCAACATGGTAGATTACTAAATGTTTCAATAATAGAGAGTTATACAATTCGTAAATATACTTCCAATCGTCATCCCCGTGGGTTCAAACTATCATAAAGCGCACGCTCATGTAAGAAGAATTGATCCCACCCATTGACACTAGGGTCATGAAAAATAGGCCAAAGGCCATTAATTGGAGGCATGGGCACTTGACCATGTCGAAAGTCAAGTCACACCCAATGATCCCCCGTAAAATGTAGTGATAAGATCCCATGTGGTCTTGTTACTCCTGGTGGGGCCGTCACAGGTAGCACGGTATAACGACCGCCTTGACTGTATACAACGATAGCCCATGAATGCAAGGTGGCAAAGACGAAGAGTTCCACATTATCCATCCAGTTGGGAGGTCCACAGCCACTTGTTGATGCCCACTTGCAACGTCGAATTCCATTTGCTATTCCATCATAGTACTCTCTATAAAGCTCAGGACGGGATTCAAGCTCCTCTACAACAGCGCGTCTCATTTGTGGCCAATTCCTTTGGTCCCCAGTAACTGCTTGTGATATAGCTCGAAATCCACAGTGTCCATCTAGAATAGGGTTTTGCCAACCACGAACTAGTCGTTGCACGTAGGATTCCAAACAATGTAGCCATGGGTAATTCTTCCAACTAGTATTGGGAATCCGAGCAACCCTCCACGGGGCACCATCTAGCCAAAGAGCATAACACAATAAATTAATACAAAGAGTTATACAATATGTTTAGCTGAAATTAGGAATATAATTTCTAACCTGTATCATTATGGATGACCGGCTTCGTCTCATTCTCGAAGTTGGTTTGTGCATTCACATTCGGGGCACCACCTATCTCATTTAAAAAAATAGATTAGTTGTACATCATATTGAGGACAATTGAACACAACTAATAGAAAAAGTTAATCTACCTGTATTTCCATCATTGTCCGGATTTGCAGTCGGAAGTCTTGAACTTTTCCTCCCTCGTCTCCTCTCCACATGCTCGAAGTGAGATAGGTTTTGAGTGGTGGACGTCCTTGGGCGACCGGGGCTGGGCTCTCCCCCATGCGGTTCATCAATGCCATCATTTTCAGGATCAAGATGGCTCCGGAGTAGGCCAATTGCACATCGAATGGTCTCGTCGCCTCTATCAAGAACCCACTGTACTAGACCTTGGAACACACCACGGTGGTAATCACTATGGTCATCCCATTCCGGACGATTAGGAGGTTCACGATAGTTGATAACGGTCCAGAATAGCAACACATCATACAAGGCGAAATCCCGATTTTCACGTCGTGCTAACTGAATGGAACATCTACATGGGAGACCATAGGTAGGAGGAAACGTACATGTACAAGGTTCCCCTTCCACTGCTACCTCGAACAACATCAACCTCAGAGCTTCTAGAGTGACTTTGGTATTCAACTCTCAAAATAGTTTTCCATCCGCTCGGAGCAGCTTCTGTTGTCGGGAATCCTCTAGAAGCTTCCTGATTTGAAGGTGTTGAGCCTCAAAGTAATCATCGTTCTTCTTGAATACCTACATACAATGAAGAACAATTAGGAGACTACTAAAACTTCTCTATGTATCAATGAAGATTTATTAGGAGACTAACTGTGTCGACTGCGCCAGTAAATGATTGAAGCCACTTCTTGAAGGAGGAATGGGCAGCTTCAACCCTATTAGAGCTTGTGTTACCCAAATGCTACACTTGATTGGTATAACATTTTGCCCACATGTGTCTAACTGGTAACCACTCAGCTGCCAAATACCCCCAAAGTCGTCGATACTGTACTCCCCAACTACGTCTAAAATTGTCTAAGGAAGTATCCATGTCTTCCACTGTCAATGCATATACAGCACGTTACCAAGACGTCATGATATGATCCACTGTCGGTTTGGCTGCATCTATACCACAACGAGTCGTCCATCGCACCTCCGCTAGACACTTTGCTCTCACATTCCTATCTATATGCCAAATACATAATATATAAGTCGATGATGGAAACATTACGCCGACGGTCTCAACCAATCCTCCTGCCTTGTCACTGACAAACACATCTGGAACAATGGGGCCAAGAAGATGTTGCAAATGCGTCAGAAGCCACTGGTACGACTCCTTCGTCTCGTCGTACACTATTGCAGATGCAATGACAAATTTCAATCCCACTGGTGTCATGCCGACAATCTCAACCCAAGGCATATCATACTTATTGGTCTTGTATGTTGCATCTATCACGATCACATGGTGCCAAGCTCGCAACATCACTATTGACTCGGGGTGGGCTAGGAACAAGTGTGTAAGTACGTTACGATCGTCCATATACTGCACATAGTAACCCTTCTCCTGAGCCACGCGGAAAGTATACTGTATGGTTGTCATCTGACCAAGCTCTTCTTTCCTTATCTTTTGCAACTCGTTATAAATCTGCTTTCTATTGTGTGTTCCATTTGCACCTTTTCTCTCATTCACTGCCTTGTGGATATTCCTTGGTGGGACATCGGCTGATCTCAGCTCTCTGATGTATTGCTTATCCTCTGTAGTCAAAACATTCCTTCACTTTGATCCCTCCGGAAATAGCTCCAACTGATGATTGTGGAAACCCAAATTAGCACCAGGATTCTTTGTATTTGCCACCCCTAGGATCAACTAATACCCATCACCGGACTGCTCAAGCTTGATCTGAAACTCGCACCCTAACTTTTCAGTAGATGTAAGAGGCCTCCTTTCCTTACTCGGATCAGGTTCCTTCGACTTCTTCTTCCTACCATGAGTGCAATGTAAGTACTGTCGCCAAGTACCTTCATTTCTTTTTCTTTTTTTTCATTGCCCTCACCAAATAAAATCCAAAACCCTTGGCAATCTCAGTAGCTGCTTCATATGCTTGCAACTCCGTAGTGTATTTCATGCCATCAATGAAACCCGAGGTGTAATCATGGCCATCCGGATTGTAACTTCCAATATCCTGCAATGTTATCAGAATTTATAAGTGATACCCCACAAATTTTAAAAAAACTTAACATTCTATATCGTCAATTTAATGAGTACCATATGATAAATTTAAAATTTCATAACTATATTAAATTTAATCATCATCATAACTTCATATGCGAATCTATTATTTATGCAATAAATTTAATCTTAATTTATAATGAAAAATCTAATCTTAATTTTCTAGATTAATGCCAAATTAAATCTAATATTAATTTAAGTCCAAATCTAATCTTAATTTCTAATGCTAAATCCTTCAATTCCAAAAATAATTATGCAAATAAATCTAGAAAATTATATAAATCAAAACCCAAAAAATTATCTCTTGGAACAAACCATAAATCATATAAAAATACAAAATACTGATTTGAACAAAAAAAAAACCCATAAAACGCTCAACCGCAGCTCACTTGCGGTTGGACCATGGCTGAACCGCAAGTGACCTGTGGTTCCACCATGGCTGAACCGCAAGTGATCTGCGGTTCCACCATGGTCCAACCACAGCTCAGTTGTGGTTCAGCCATGGTCGAACCGCATCTGAGCCGCGATTCCCATTTTCTTTGTTTTTTTATTTTTCCAGTTAATGTTTTTACCTCGTCGGAGTCGCTACTCATGATTCAGACGTCCTACCGAGGATATCGGCTTCAAAATGACGATGATGGATTTTTCTCTCCTTATATAGTATTTTTTAGTCCAAGTGGTGTTTGTTTGCTAAAGGGAAGGTAAAGAAGCTAAGGGGTTAAAAGTGTAACTTTGATATTTTTTAGGGCGAACTTTAGCAACTCCCTATATTAATTATATGACTAATTGCTTATTTGTTTAATTGGCTTGATTGGTTAGGAGTGTATAAAACAAAATCAAATCAAAATTATAAAAGTACTACCTATTAAAACTATTACCAAAAACAACCCTATTAACATAGCAAACAAACTCATTTTTTTATCACTATTATCGATTTGATTGATGATTTGTGGGCTCAATCCATTAGTTCCAATCCACCAGCCAAACTAGTGGTAGATCCAGAATTTTTGGACAGGTGTGTTGCTGATAAAATATGTTAACAAATTAAAATATTAAATAAATTATTATATTAAATACAAAAATTTATTTCATAGATTTTAAAATTGCATTATTTTTTATTGCGAATCACGACCAATTTTCATATGCAGAAAGAGTTGTATAATATATTTGTCATTTATGTTGCGGATCAGACTTTTTTTTTATTGTACATAACTAAACATTCATTCATAAGACCAATTCTAATGATCGTTCTTGATTAAATTCATGGCAAGAAAAGTTCTTTCGCAGCTCGCAATTGCAATAGGTAAAGTGTACACAAACTTCATGTGGGAAGCTAGAATGCGAAGATGGAAAAGTGGTGAGATGCGTCAATGTATAAGTTAAAATGATAATGCAGGATCCGCCGGCAGAGAGTAAACAATTGGGGGTTGAATCGGATGGCAGAAAGTTGCGAGGCAGCTATAGTGAAATTTTTTTTCCCTCATGACACTTGGCATATATACAAAGAATGTGAGAAAGAAATGTGAATTAATAAGAGTAAGAAGATTAGCAAGTTTTGTTTTTGTGACTAGTGAGAGGTTTTCCATTCTTGTCTAATAAAAAAAGAGAAGTGGAATCAAAATGGATAAAGGGAACACTACGGTTATTAAGGGTAGGGGTGGGTGGTTTATGGGACTTTTTTTTATAATAACCTGTTACAAGGTACTTTTAGAGGAGAAGGGAAAATGTCATTACTGAAAATCGAACACACAACCTTACCATGGAAAGAGTGGAATGTTTAAAATAAAAATTGATTAGTTTGGCATAAGTTAATTAAAATAAATTTTATATATTTACTTATTTTAGTAGCTTTATGAAAAAAATTTATAGTATATTAAAAGTGTGTCGATTACAACCATCTCAATTTAAAGTTCTTATACAGACAAAATATGTATCTCTCACAAAATTTTAGGGTGGACATGGGTCAAACAGTTGCCTTGAAGCCTACAAAAATCAACACCCGCAAATGTATTTGCAATGGATCAGGTCAACTTAATATCAGCATCCTATTAGTTTGGCTGTTGGGGTTTATTTGTGGTGGTTTAAGAATTGGTCATCATCATTATGGCTGCTGTCACTCACCAAACTTATTTACTTTCAGCGATGAGAGGTTTTGACTTAAATGTCAAGGCTCCATTAGAGTCTTCTCTACCTACATTATAGGACAAGGGAGCTAGCTTATTAACTGAACAGTAACACGAACCTCTTTCGTCATTTTACTGCAGCAAACAATGCTACAGAGCTGCTTTGTTGTTTCACTAAGCATGTTCCAGTATATAGCAATATGAATTTGTATATAGTAAGAGCAGGAGGATGGAGCGAGGCGAGACGTGTTGTCTGCGAAATAAGGCATTCTGATGGAGACTTTTTAAGCAGCATAAGTCGCTGTTAGATACTCGATGATTTATGCACTCTCAAACATCTGTACTCCTGTGTTAGGGTCTTCCAGGTAAGGTGCCTGTCAATAATAACGACCAACAAGAGCAATTCCTCATAAAAACTCAGAACTGATATTTCTCAACAGGTTAAGTTGATGGAAGCACAAAGTCAGAGAATGAGGTATAGCAAACCTGAAAATGACCAGTTTTTGCATATAGTATCTTCCGTTTTGGGCTTCCACGGCCGCAACTGGCAAGAAGAAATAGAAGAAAAAAGGGGAAACTTTCAGTGCAATGCCCCAGCTATTTGTTATTACAATGTCAGCATTTCAAAATTAGTTGTGCATTCCAAAACTAAAATTTCCATTGGAAGTGTCTGAATCTCCAAAGGATACTATGGATTCCAAAAGTGTCCCAAACGAGAAAAAGCACCATCAATGGATGTTACCTTCGATAAATATGTGGTAATTCCAACTCTACGAGCACTTCACGGACAAGCTTACAGAATGGAGAACCCTAAAAACGCACACATGATGGCATTAGTCATTACTCATGCAATTTTAGGGATGAACTATGCTAATTCAACACAAGATAAAGTACATGACTGGAACGAACCTTGTATGCCCATAATTCAAGAGGTTTTGGAGGCAATTTGGATGGCCGATATGATTATCCCTGCATAGATAGAATTGAAAATGGAGGAATGTGATCAATATCTTCCAAATAAACATTTCATAAGACTTCGAAAGATATGAAAGCTGGAAGACTATTGATTGGTTGAAATTATCAAGAAAAAATGAAAAGTATTACCCTTCCCATACGACCAATCATAGCAAAGCCGGCAGTCAAAGTCAGCAAGAAAATAAGAGAAACGAGAAAACCAGCAATAAGCCCCATGCAACGTAGAATACGAATCAACATGAGAGAAAGAGGAAGATGCAAAGGCAAAGTGCTCACTTTTAGAAGACCAAGTGACAACATGAGAGGAACTCTTCCATCACCTAAAATAAACAAGTTCAAGATGTAAATATCTTGCAGTGACAGAAGAAAAGAAAAACTTAAAGACCTAGCAAAATAATTTGAAAGTTCATTCCTTCTAAGTTTTTGATGAGTTAAAGAAGATGAAAGAAGCATTCAAACTTTTCACAGAAGAATAATCATCAAATTTGATCTTGGCATTAGCTTAGCAATTGCGACAAGAGCTTCTTGGGGTTTCCCAGTGCCAATGCAATGGGGAGAATAAGCGAATATTGTAAGCACTCATGCAAAAGCATACCATATTTATCAACCAGATACTTTATGATCGCATCTGATTCATACATTGCAACTCCCGTATTTGGATCAACCTGCACTTTGAACAAGCTTCACACAGTGAAAGAAGATAAAAGAAGGCAAGATTCCACTCTTCAAAAAATTTAGTTTGACAACAAAAAAGCCTGAACACAGAGATCAAACCATGTAGGGGAATTGCTGTTTTCCTCCCAACTCAATAGCCTTGGGGCGGAAATTGGGACCATTCCTTGGGCAGGGATAAAATAGAACATCAAGATCCAAGACAGCAACAATTTCCCTAACCTTTACATAAGGCAATATGCCAGCCAACATGTCAGCAGGTTTATAGAAAAATGGAGTACAAGGAAAGAAAACAGCAAGATCAGATAACTCAGCAAAGGCATAAAGAAGGTCAACTGCCATCAATTAGCCAGACCTCTCTTCCCTTAAAGAACTCACCTCCTATTCATAAGGATAATTTAAGGATTCATGGTTTTTCGGACCTAGACTAGAATGTACCAAGCTAGACATTTCCAAAGGGAATACATAGTCTACAGTGTTCAGAATCACAATACCTTCCGACAGAAAGGACAGCTGAAGATTTGCAGGTTGTTTTGCCACCATCCAAACATGGAGAAAAGAAATACACACAATCAATGTCTCGATTCATCACTATGAAACATAGATAAGTTCATAGGAAAAAGGAGAGAAATGAAGAGAAAAGCCAGAAGAATTATGTTGCTTCCTCTTTTCTTTTCTAAGATGCGTCTCTCAAATTGATCAGGAAATTAAAACTTAAGAAATTCCATACCTTTCAAACTCATATATCATGATTGGCTGCTCCGGACGAGGTCCTAGCTTTGATGTCTCTTTTACTTTGTAACCTACATAGTTAGGGGAGAGCACTTTTGAACTAGTTGGTTATGATCAAGGACCTTGTTTGGCCATCTTCCAATATCTTGCATATCTAGGCATGGGATATCAGAGTGTAGTAATGAAAGTAATGTTCACGTCTACCAGCTAGTTCTAGAGCATATTGGTCAGTTGGAATCTCATCTTTGGACACGAAAGACACCGAGTACCTGTCACGGTATAAGAATGAACACAGAACTAGAATTGCAATCCCATTTCGGTAAAAAAAACCCTAGCAGTTGATGAGGCACTAGAGAGAGCACAATTGAACTTCAGGGAGGGAAACAAAATAGCAATTTCCCAAGTTAAACAGATGATGAAGCAAGTAATTAAGTTGCAGGCTCCCACCAGAGAGGGGGAAAACCGATTACCCATTGAGGAAGACAACAGTGCCGAGGCGGAAAAAGATGGCGAGAGCCGCTCCTGCAACATCCAAGCCCTTGTCGGGTCGGATAGCAAACCGCTTTGGCTCCGACGTCTTGAAACCGGCCGGGGCAGCAAATGAAGGCGCTGCTGATTGTTCTTCTCTTCTAGTGGCTGCGGTCGTGGCGCCGGAGCTCGGAGGTGTATCCGACAACGACGAGGAGGCCCTGGTTACGGGAATGGAGGTTCTGATACCGGCAGGAACACTGCCGCGGCGGGAAATTGTTCAGAGGAATGGAAACTGCGAGACGTTGATCACTCCGGCCATTGCTCGCGGATTAAAGTACAGCGCTGGACTGGAGCGCTGGTTCTGATGAGTGATTGGTAGCTGCCGAAGCAGTGGAGAAAGAGTTCGGTGGTTGTGTGCCGTTGTTCGTAGAAAAGTTTGACTTCATCGTTTCAGGGATGATGATTGAATGGAGATTATGACAGGTAATTTAGATATCGTTTGTGTGATATATTTATCACACAAATACAAAACATTATGGGGTCGTTTAGTAGTTGTGATTGTTAGAGTTGTGTTTGTTGAATACATGTATTGTGCACAATATAATGTTTGGAAGTGCTAAAATGTATAACAATGCATACATTGTTTTAGGTAGGCCTCACCAATAATCACAAAAAATAATGCACTATACAATCTCAACTAAAAGTTGAGATTGTTGTTTTTATATTTTTGTCAACTTTTTCATTTCATTTATATCCCTAACTAGCGTTGTGACCGGCCTTTGGTTGGGGTAACATTTATATTGTTTTATCGCTTATGATTTTTGTGACATGTTTGGGTAACAGTTATAATGTTTTATCGCCTATGATTTTTGTGACATGTTTGATTTCACTTTCATTGCCACAGAATATGTAGTGATAGTAGATTCTGACCCTATTCATGCGATCTATCTACTCCGACTTCTTTGGAGTGAGAATTATCATACCACAATAGCGTGGGGGAGGACATTTGTACTACTTTCGCTATGCCTCATCCTGTTCCGTCATGTTTTCGACCTGTTTTTATCATTGTTTGCAATATCAATGAGAAACAAAGTTTCGGAATTCCCTTCCTAAAAAAAATCGTAATTCCGTTTGGAGCTTGATGCGGCCACGCCTTTAATTGGCGGTGTCGTTTTGGCACATAAGTTAGCATTGCTATTGCGATTTGCGAATGCTAATAGCAAGTTTTATTTCTGCAACTTTCACACTGGTTGTAGTATGCACCATAATACCATTTCGAAGAGTTTTGTTTCAGAACCTTCTTATGTTGGCGAATCAACGTTCTCATCCTAATAACAACAGATAAATACATAATGCATATGAGTAATGTAGTTTAATGCAAAACATCAAACGGAAGGAATTCTTCTAAACAAATGAACGAAACTGCAAGCATGGCTTTTCTTAAAAATTTGCTGATAGACTCATAAGTTAGATTACAGAACAAATAGAAGGAAATTTAGCAAACGAGCAAGGTTCGCATTATGTTTGTGGAGGGTGCCCTTGTTGTGCTTTCCAAGTACGGAGAAAAGCCATTAACATTAATTCAGGAGAAAATGTAATAGGATAATTCATTGGAAATTAAACACCAAATGCAACTCTGACATTATGCAGAAAACACGCAACCATGACACAGAAAGCCCACGTAGTAAGTGAGAGTTAAGAACATTCTAAAACATATTTCTCTGATTCCACTGAACCTCCAATAGACCATAGTTTGTAGAATGGTAATCACTCTAGGTGTAAAGAATCTTGCGGAAAAAATCAAGATGTCGCCTGAACTACTCTTGCTTGAGCAGAGGCTATATACTACTGCTTCCTAATGATAATTGCAAATGGCTAATAATAAAATTCTTCTTCTGGGCTTCTTCAAACATCTAAGAAGTGAGATTGGTTTTCCAGGAAAGGTAGCTTAAGCACTTTTCTTCCAACTGCTGCGTATTTCAGGTTCCATATATTGATGCAATGACAACATAATTTGAATAGAGTTGTTGGAAAAAACTTCTGTAGAGCAGGCCATTTTATGAGATCCTAATGCATCTACAATCAATTGATTGGGTCTGAATGATGCTGGCGGTTAAAAGGAGAAGATTAGAAGGTTATATACACAACTACTCAGCTAGCTTGCTCTTTGACAAACGGTATATATGGAAAATTACATCCTATTAAGTGAGAAACATGCACAATATGATAGTTGAGTAATTGAATTATGAGCAACTTGGGATTCATTGGCAAAAGGATGGGAAAGGAAGTATGTGAATAACTAACAACGTAGAAGAGATTGGCGATGAAGTAAACTTATATGGTAGATCAATTCAAAGAGGAGAGCACAACTTACCATGGGGAACCCTCAATGAGATTAGGGAGGGAATATCTCTACTGGAATTGATACCGTAGAACCAAATCTTTGGTTTCTTTGGCAACACTAACTTATGCTGCCAACTAAGCAGTTCCATCCGTTTTCCCTTAACAACCCCCCACCACGCCTTCCTAGTCGGAAGTACCCAACTGGCCAGTAGTTACCAGACAACCCAGACAGAACAAAAACATGAGAGGAAATTGGAGCCAAGTTTGTCCACCGACAAAAGCAATCATTGTTGTTACCTGTAGCGAAAAAATGAATGGCACGCTGGTGTCGAGAAATTACAGAACGCTTCCCAAGTAGCCAGGGAAAAACCAAAACCCAAAGAGATAAAAAAATATATGGGAGGTAACGAATGAACACTTGTGCCAGGCTGCTAGGAATCTGTCGTGATCAAAGAAGTACGGGATATTTGCAGATTCAGTTGTGAAAATCAATACAGGGCAGGCGGTTTGTCGAAAGGGCAAGAGCAGCGGTGGGGATGGCGGAAGACCGGCAACGCATTATGATAGAGGGCGGTGGGGCATGCGATTGCGGCGAAAAGAAGGGAAGTTATAACGAATCTGTCAAAGGAGGGACATTTACAGGGAAGGCGATTATATGGAGAGGGTATTTGGCGGAGAGCAGCGAAGTAAACAGGGGTTTTCCACCCGGTATTTTAGAGGCTAACGTGGATAGCTTCTAATTACAGGAAGGGGTATGTGGCAGTGGCTTTAAAATGAAAGTGCTTTAATATATTTTAAGATAGTTTTTGTCTTATACTAAAAGTTGAGGGTAAACATGACATTTCTCCATAAAAGTAACTTTATGTAAATCAATGCATAAAGTAGAATCTCAACAACCAAACAATGTATTGTTAAAATGCATCCATTGTATCAATACATGCATTTATATTATGGTGATTCATTATAATGCAACGATTTAACATTCATAACTTCCAAACGACAAAAATGTTTTTGGTAAAAAACATTTTTGTTGAGTTATACAAATCTGTGGATCCCATGAATTTGGACCTTTTTTAGCTCAAAATCCATGACTCCACATATTTGCAAATACAATATTTCATTTGGTATTTGGTCATGGAAGGCAAGGATTTGATACTTATGGTACAAAAAACTTTAAATCCATTATAAAAATTAACTAAACAAACAATGTTATCTTTCAAATACAAAATGAAACAAATTCATTATAAATCCAAAGGTTTTTCGAACTAAAAACGTTCATTTTCAAATTCCACAAGCAAACAAGCCCTTAGTTGACTCCCTTCGTTTAATTTCTGCTGTACTGTACTTCTGTCTTCACTTTTTTAGTTTTTTGTTTGGAATATTACGGCCGGGCCGATTCTACGGTGCTGCTATTAAAAGTGTCGCACCGGTGCAACCACCTCCTATTGGGCCACGTCATGGTACATGTGGCAGGTTGGATTCTGGAAATCGAGTCCAAAACCAAAAATGTTCAACCACAAGCTCACTTTGTACCACTACCTTCAAGCCAATCAAGTTAAAATGATCCAATTTTATGGGCTCGGACTCGCGAATTGGACTTCGGGGTCTTACAGGTCAGAAGAATGACAAGTTTTCGAATCATTGGCTAAATTGCAAGTTTGACTATTAGGATTACTAAAGAAGGTTGTTATTTTCCGCTCATGTCTTTAAGTTAAAATGATACTTTTGCCCCCACGAATTTCTTAATATTATATTCCTCTTTCACTCCAATAACACTCCTCCCATCACCCTCACACCATCACCAAATCACCATCGTTGGCAGTACCACCATCGCTCGAGTCACCGTCGACGGACCACCATCGGTAAAGCAAACGGTCGGCCGATCACCACCGCAGTCAAACCACCATGGCTGGAGCCAACGAATGAGGCAACGACCTTCCAGCTCCCAACGATTTCTTTATCGTCGGCTTCGTCCACTCGCTGGCGTCGGATCCCGTCCGCTCACCAGCATCGGATGTCGTCCGCTCGCCGGCGTCGAATGTCGTCCTCTCGCCAGCGTCAGACTATTATGAGTCGTCCGACGCCGGCGAGCGGATGGGGCAAAAAATATGACCTTCTCGGCAATGACAACACGCCGGAGAGCTTTTCTTGGCGACTTCTCCAGCAACGGTTGCGGCGAAGTCCTTCAAAACCGGCAGCAACATGTGAGAGGAGGGAGGGACAGGCAGGTCACGACGGTGGGAGGAAGAGAGGTAGTCGGTGGTGGGGAGTAGTTGGCGGCGTGGGAGGAAGGGAAGTGGTCGGCAGTGATAGGGGAGGTGGTTTAGGGAGAAAAGGTCGGCGGCAGTTTGGGGATGGGAGGAGGTGTACTCTTGTGAGAGGATGAGTTTAGATAAATTTAGGGTTTTAAGTTTGACTAAGGGCAAACTTGTCATATATTTTAAAACTATGGGCGGTAAATAATAAATACTAGGGTGGCAAATAGCGATTCATTTACTAAATTGCTTTATGTTTGTCACTATAAATATTTCAGTTCATTCGTGGTCACAGAAATAGTGAAATTAGTACAACCGTCCATGTTTGGTTACTAGTTGTTACCTTTCATCAGTAGCCATTAACGACATCAGTTTTTTTTTACTAACATTGCTAACATAAGTGGATAATGAGCCAATTTTAATATGAGAAAATTAACAACTGACTCGCCACGTCATTAAAACCCGTCACATAAGATACCCCAACTCAACCCATGATCAGGCCCTTTCTCATCTTCCTCTTCTTCCTCTATTTGATTCGAATGGAAAAAAATCCTACCTACCAAACCCCAAATCAGTGAGCAAGCAGGGTAGAAGCAAACCCACTGGTGGCGGGAGATTCAGTGGGTCGATACTTTGTCACCGAGCTAAGCGGATGCGCGAGAGTTGGCGGTAGATTATGTTTGTCGGGTTTGGGTTGACAAACGCAAATTCATTTTCTTCCTTGCTCCACACTAACTGTTGACACCTAAAAATTAATTCGGCCGAAATTAAATGCCGCATTAATTAGTATCGGCATTTAATTCGATACCGGGGGTAAAAGACGACGTCGTTTGAAATTAAGCGGTACCGCAAGAAAGCTCACCGGTACCGCAAGGAAGTTCACCGGTACCGCGACAGTGGAAACGGCACCGGTCATCATAAAACAAAAGAGGGGCCGCGCGTTTAGTCGTAGTTGGGGAAGGAGTTTTGTTTACTTTAATTAATTATTATTATTATTTTTTCCTTGTTGGATAGGGAGAAGCGGCACCGCGGAGAACTAAAACGGTGCCGCGGAATTTAAAACGGTACTGCTATACTAGCAAACGATAGTGTTTAATAATAAACAGTGTCGTGGAAGAAAAAAAAAACACAAACGGTTGGTTGGGGAAGAAAACTACACCCCAAGGCTGGAAGCGGAGTCGTTTAATATCAAAACGATACCGCTTAAAGCATCAACAACGCCGCGATATTGCTAGGCGTTTGAGACCATACCACGGCGGGTTGGATTTTGGCGAGTCCCGGCAAGACCAACGGTACGGTTTGGTTGAAAAACAAAACAATGTCGCGGAATGGAAAACGACATTGTTAAACGACATCGATTAGTGAAAGGTGATGCCGCGGTATTGGTGAAACGACATCGTTACATGGACAAGGTTGTAGGATTTGGCTCAACGTCGTTTCGCCAAGTTTATGCAAACAGGAGCGGTTTCGAGTGCACGTGACTTTTACGCAAAGCAGAAAGAGGAGATCAAGGCAGTTGAGACACGTGGGATTTCAGGACGGAGCGTGAAGATTACGCAAGTGATTTCAAATAAAAGCAGCGGAGCAAGGAGAGAGAGAGACAACCAAATCAACACAGATAAACTCTGTTCAAACTTTACCTTTTTTCTCTGTAACTCCTTCGCGGAGCTCTCCTTCCAGGAAGGATCTCCATAGTTGTAGTCTTAGTCGTAGTCGCGGAGCTCTCCACAGGAATCTCCATAGGAGTAGCGGTAGCGTAGATTCCTCAAAACTCAAACACCCTCGTTCGAACGTAGTTTGGAGAGGTGCGAACCGTAGTAACGGTCGTTATTGGTTAGAAGTCAGAGGTGCATCGATCAGATCAACACCGCCCGGCGGTGGATATTTGACGGTCACGTTGATTTCACCATTTAGAGGTGCATCGATCAAATCAACGGCGCCGACATTCGGCGGCGGATATTTGACGGTCGTCTCGATTTCTCAGCGGTGCTTCTGATCAAACGGCACCGCAAGGGTTTCCACCGCGAAACATCAAATCAACATCGCCGGAAACGAACTCGACACCGGTGGTGGCATTTGGCTTTTACGAGGAAACACTAACACTTGGACTCCTTCATATCTGGCACCATATTGCACTCATTATCTCACCAACCTTGTGGCTTTAGTAAACTCATTTACTTGGACGAGCTGCAGGTGCAACTCCCTTAATCCTTCACGATCAGCTTTTGTTGGCACTAGTTTAAGGATCACTGGATGTTTGGCACAAATTGCTGAAAAGAATTCGCTAATGTAGGTGACTGCACCTGCACAAGTCTAGGTTTTGCTCCATTCAACACTTTATTAAGTCCTCCGTCGATGTAAGTGCGTTAGGTATTATTGGTAAAGTTTCAACCTCCCTAGCCTTAGAGCTCTCTACCAAAATTCACACATATGGCTCAAAGCCACTACAATCATGCCCTTCATCCATCACCTCTTTGCCCTTCTCATTTCCTACAGTAGATACCAGCTCAACTGTTCTCTTCTATTTGACCACCCAAATTTTCTGCATCCGACCACTCACAGGTCAAGAACAATTGTAAGCAAATAGTTTACAAGAAGAACAAATCATAAGGAGTCCGCAATACTCCATTGACACAAACATCTCCACTAAACCATCGAGTATAAAACTAATCTGATCAACCAACAGAGAAGTTGCTGCAATTCCACAAAATCCTATCATAAGACTACCTACTTTATCCCCCTTCCTCGTAGGTAAATCCATACACAAGGACTTACCAAAGATACTAGCACGACAAACTATTCCTTCTTTCGAATTCAATTCTGCTGAGATGCCTAAAAGCCTGGCTTAGACAGGAACTGCTGAGTTATCAAACTTCAGAGGTCGAATACCTGGTTCCCACTAGCACAAAAAGATCATATAATCTCCTAGCAGTGCCATGACCCACCCTAAATAACCCAATTGCAGACGTCCGCCGATGGGAATTGGAAAAGAACTAGATGGTTTCCAAACCCAGAAACTCGAATCGCACTCTTGCGACACCAAATTCAATTCGCCCACCAACGGAGTAAACCCAATGTCAGTGTTTTACCTAAGAATTATCCCACCAAACTATTTTCCCCATCATTGAGCTCCTTTGTCGACCTTCTTCTTCGGAATTTGCAACGAACCATTCACAATTTATGGCTCATAGTATTAAAGTCAACCTTCTTTTGGCACCGCGAAGAGAGTCGTCCTCATTGCAAATTCATAATTAAAGGGTACAATTGTAACAAAAAAAAAGTAAAGGATCATGTTTGTTAACTTAAAATGTAATTAACAATTTTAAAAATAAAGTTGATTATAAAGTTGACAGAATGCCACGTTGGTTGCAAGTTATAATTAAAGTGTACAACTGTAATAAAAAAAAGTAAATGATCATGTTTGTTAACTTGAAATGTAATTAACAATTTTTAAAGGGTAAATTGCAAAGTTGGTCACTAAAAGTGTTAAAATATTCACGTTTGGTCACTAAAAGTATTTTATTCCATTCGTGGTCACTGGAAGTGCTTAACGTTTCACGATTGGTCACTGTCCGTTAGTCTCCATCCATCTCCGTTAACACCGTTAGTATTTTGCTGACATGGCTAACAAAAGTGATGATTCACCCAATTTAAGCTTGCCACGTCATATAATTTGACCAGCCACGTAAGAAAAACCGCCACATAAGAAAACTCCAAATAATTCAACCAAACCACATAACCTGACCCCTGCCTCTCCTCTTCTTTTTCTTCCACATTTAAATCTCCATCTCAGTTTCTTCATCTCCTTTCATTGATGCCTCGTCAATCATCATCATGGAAATTTCTATTGGATGAGGAATCAGACTCGGTCTCGCCTAGATTCAATAAATTTCTCTCAACCCACTTCTCCTTATGACAATCTAAACAACCAAACCCATCTTGAATTGAGCGGAAAAGACAATTTTTTGCACTTTTGGCCAAAAAACCATAGTGATATGTAACGATAGTGACCAATCGTGAAACGTTAAGCACTTCCAGTGACCACGAATGGAATAAAATTCTTTTAGTGACCAAACGTGAATATTTTAGCACTTTTAGTGACCAACCTTGCAATTTACCCATTTTTAAAATATACGGTGTATTTGTCAAATGAAGTTTGTATTTTATTTTGGTATGTAACGATAGTTAATTCTTGTTTGCAGTTGTATTAAGCCAAATGGTTAGTTCAGTCTTTTCCCTCTTGGCCGCTGCTCGTGTACAACCCAAGGAGAGATTAGTTGATTAGGGTTTGGATACATACATGCTGTAAAGTGATCGGCTGCAAGCTAAGAATAACAAAAGCTGAGATAGCAAAGTTTCTCCGTGGAGTAAGCTCATTCACACCGAATGAGAAGAACCACGTAAATCCTTGTGTTGTGTGATTGCATATTATTTCCTAAGATTATTTCATGGTATCAGAGTGGGTTTTCTAAAACCTAAGTCTTCACAATGAGTGACTCGGAGATTGATGGCGGCAGTAAGGATCTGATCAACCCCAATGGCGGCGGAGGAGGTGTTGTCCCACCTCTAGTCATCCCTGCTGCGTTGAGGATCCAAGCGTCAGACAATCCAGGTCAACTATTTGTTGGTGAGCTGTTGAGTGACTCCAATTATGGAGAATGGGTCACAGACATGACCGAGGCTTTAATTGCAAAGAACAAGCTCGACATCGTTGATGGAACCCTGGTCAAGCCGGATGTTGCTGGTGAGTTGCCAGCATCATGGCTTCAGTGTGATGCCCTTGTCAAAGGATGGTTAAAAACTGCCATGGACAAGGAGGTACGCAGTTCGATTCACTATGCAAAGACTGCACACGAGATGTGGGTTGACCTAGAAGCGCGGTTTGGGCGCGGGTCGGTGCCTAGGGCTTATGAGCTTAGACAAATGATGAGCACCTTGAGGCAAGAAAAACTCACGGTCTCCACCTTCTTCACAAAGTTGAGAGCTATTTGGGAGGAGATGCAAACCATTACGCCTATTCCACGATGTACTTGCGGTGGGTGCTCGTGTGAGATAGACAAGAAGGTAATGAGTAATCTGGAAAACGACGGTTTTTTTGATTTTCTGATGGGTCTTGGGGACGCGTTTGGGACTGTTAAAACGCAAATTCTGTCTATGAAACCAACCCCAACCCTTGGAGAAGCCTATCGTTTGGTTTCCACGGAAGAACAACATAAAAAAATTGCCGCCAATCGGCGGCCTGCTGTTGAAGCTGCTGCTTTTCAGGCTCAGCAAGAGCGACCTGCCTCAGACTCGACTAAACGCGAGAGAGCCCGCAGCAATGACCGAAAAGAGCGGGTCCGTTGCAGTCACTGTCAACGTCCTGGCCACTCCAAAGAGAACTGCTACGAAAGCATTGGATGGCCGGAATGGAAGCCGCGATCGGGTGAGCAGGAGAAGGGTCGTGAGTCTCGTCAAGGTGAGCGAGAGAGGGAGCGCTTGGGAAGATCTAATAATCCCCGTGCATCACAGACTTCTGCTGGCACCGGTGTGAGTATCCCAGGCCTGAACTCCGATCAAGTTCAGCAACTCTTGGAGTTTCTACAGCACAGTGGCGGCCAGCCGAACTTATCATCGTCGTTCGACCCGCAAGTGAACATGGCAGGTACATTTTTTCTCAGTCTGAATGGATCTTTGATTCGGGATGCAATGAGTATATTATGAATAATGAATCCTTGTTAGAAAATTCTACTAAGATCTCTGGTCACTTACCGGTTAGCATTCCGAATGGGGATAAGATGGCAGTAAAACGCGTTGGGGATATCAGTTTTTCGAATGGCATGAAGCTCAGTCGGGTTCTCAGCCTACCATTGTTTAAATGTAACCTCTTGTCAGTCAGCATGCTCACTCAGGATTTTGATGTGGCCTTAACTTTTCTACGCGATTTTTGCGTAATCCAGGACTTACACTCAAGGAAGACGATTGGGACGGACCAGCTTCGTGATGGATTATATTATCTTCGGCTTAATGGTGTTGAAGGATCTCAGGCCTTGGTTGCTAGCAGTAACGAGGGACTGGGGGAGCTTTGGCATTTTCGGCTAGGTCATCCATCACTGCAGAAGACCCTTTTATTATTTCGTTCAGTTCAGAATAAATGCAATGGCACGACTTGTGATTCTTGTATGCGTGCTAAGCAAACTCGGTTGCCCTTTCCTAGACATTCGATAAAGACTAGTCGTTGTTTTGAACTTATCCATGTGGATATTTGGGGCAGTTTCAAGGTTCCCACTCGGAATTCAGCTCGCTATTTTCTTACGATTGTTGATGATTTTAGCAGAGCCACTTGGGTATATCTTATGTCTTATAAGTCGGATGTTGAAGGGTATTTAAAAATGTTTATCGACATGATTGCGACTCAGTTCAATCAGCAGGTTGCACGGATACAGGCTGATAATGGGTTGGAATTCCAAACCAGTTCTTTACGTGTGTTCTATGAGGATCGCGGCATCGTTTTGCGGTACCTCGTATACCGATACCCCACAACAGAATGGGGTTGTTGAGCGGAAACATCTCCATCTACTTGAGACAGCTCGGGCACTACGATTTCGAGAAAGTCTACCATTGAGGTTTTGGGGGGATTGTGTCTTAACCGCCACTTACCTCATCAATCGACTACCGAGTAAAATTTTGCAGGATCGCTCTCCTTATGAAGTTCTCCTTGGAAAACCTCCATCGTATGCCCACCTTCGGGTTCTGGGGTGTTTAGCTTATGGGAAAGATACTCATAAAGGGCTTTCAAAGTTTGATGAGCGCGACAGGCGCTCTGTATTCATGGGATACCCATCTTCTCAGAAGGGGTATCGCCTCTTTGATCTCAACTCTCGGACCTTCTATGTGTCTCGAGACGTCCATGTCGTGGAAAATGTTTTCCCATTCAGCGAGTCCATCTCCCCAACATCGCAATTGGGCGACAGTGCTCGAACATTCCCTGTAGTGGGTGATGAGGAACCTCCATCCATATTGCCCGTGGTTAGCAATGATGAGCATGCACAAAGAAATGTGCATGCACCTCCCCCCACATCAAGCATGCATGGCCATGCAAGGGATCACTCTCCCCAAACTGCTCCTAGTCCCAGTGAGCCGCAAAGGGCTTCCACATCCGCGCCAGGTCCGGAAGCGGGATCCCGGTCCACTGCCTCGTCTCCCTCCGTCCAGCCAGCTGTTCCTCTCCGACAGAGCGATCGTGATATGATCTCAATTTGGCCATTAAAACGACTAGAATTGATCGATCATGAAGGCAATCTAGACACATTAGAAAATACTTATTTTGGTCCAAGTATTTATGACGATTTCAGGTACCCACTTTGGACGAGCATAACTCTCAATTGGTGTGATAGAAATTCGAGTTCTTTGGCTTGTGTTGAAGAAGAGGAGCTGCTCTTTCAATCGGTATGCTTTGGAGCTCAAGGGAAGTCGACAAGCTGAGCTTTCGAGGTGATCAATATGCTAGCTCAACACTGGAGGAACTGCCAGATTTGTCTAAGTATGGAAGCAGAGTTGGGAAGGGATCTTTGAAGCTCGAGTTGAGGAAGATGGGAAAGAATCGAGCCTCCACATTCACACCACATGAAAGCTGGTTCCTTCTAGTTTATCGACAAGGTATTGGTTGATCAAGGTGATGTCTAGAAGGGCTCAAACGAGGGGGCTAAAGATCGCTTCGAGACTGAAATTTCTGCCGGGAAAACTAAGTAATCCGAATCCTAGTCGGATTAGGATTAGTAGACAGTTTAGTTTAATTGGTTTCCATGTCTTGTTTTGCTTCCTTTTCCAAGTAGAATTGTAATTGAAATTCTTTAAACGTTGTTAGGAATTTCTAGGTCTATTTAAGTGGAGTTGATTCATTGTAATAGTTAGTTTTTGATCAATTGAATACAAAGTTGAGCTTTGATTCATCTCGCTAGTTGCGTGGGGAATTGAGTGGGATTGCTTGGACGATTCTAAGCAATCGTGAGCTTGTATTGATCTGATCAGTTCATCACCCTGATCGTGGCTAAGCATCGACCTAAAGGTTTCGAGCCTCTTTCCCTTGTGAAAGTTGCACGAAAACTCTCCATCCAAACTACAAAACAACTCTGTTTTGTGAAGGTTCTTGTTTGAGACAACAATCCGAGGTTCTAGACCTATTGGTTGCGTAGCTTTGATCATAAACCCTGCCTTGGGGTTTATCAGATCGAGTGCGCCAAGTCTCTCATCGTTTGGATGGGTATGAAGTCGAGTTGCCCCCATCCAACGTACAGTACCCTATGTCCAATCATGTCACTTACAAGGACTTTTCTCCGCGGCATCGCAGCTTCTTGGCCGCCGTCTCCTGTCAAGCAGAGCCAACTCATTTCCGTGAGGCTGTTCGATATGAAGAATGGCGAATTGCAATGCAGTGGGAGATTGATGCCCTAGTTAGTAATGGGACATGGACCCTCGTCAGCCTTCCGCCTGGTAAGCGTGTGGTGGCTTCAAAATGGGTCTATAAAATTAAGTTTAATGTTGACGGTTCAGTTGAATGGTACAAGGCTCGCTTAGTTGCCAAGGGTTTCACTCAGACTGAGGGAATTGATTATCACGATACTCTTGCCCCGGTGGCAAAATTGGTGAGTGTTCGTTGTTTGCTAGCTATAGCTGCGGTTCGGAGCTGGGTGGTTCACCAGCTCGATGTTGATAACGCCTCTTTGCATGGGGATCTTCATGAGGAGGTGTATATGCAGATTCCACAGGGTTTTGCAGCTCCAGGTGACTCGCGTGTCTGTCGCCTTCACAAGTCCATTTATGGACTGAAACAGGCTTCCCGAAATTGGTATGCTAAGTTCGCTGTCACACTCACAAGTCTTGGGTTCACTCGGTCTCGTGCCGACTACTCACTCTTTGTTCGTCGCAGTCAGGGCACATATGTCGTTGCTCTTATATATGTGGATGATGTTATCCTGGCAAGTGATGATTTGGTTTTCATTCAGCAATTCAAGGATGCTCTCCACCATCAGTTTGGCATCAAGAACTTGGGGCCTCTCAAATACTTCTTAGGAATCGAGGTTGCTCGTTCTTGTGTCGGCATTGCTCTTTGCCAGCGCAAGTACACTCTTGATCTTCTCCGTGACAGTGGTTTCTCTGGTGGTCGTCCGAGTGTGTTTCTTATTAAGCAGCATCACCAATTAACTCGGCACGATGAACATGCCATTTTAGCTTCTCAGGATGATGCGACATCCTACCGTCGTCTGATTGGTCGCCTTCAATATCTCACGGTGACTCGCCCAGACATAGTCTATGCTGTAAATATACTCAGTTTCTATGTTCATGCCCCACGTCTGCGCACATATCTGGAGCTGAGCATGTTCTCCGTTATCTAAAAAATGCTTCGGGCCAGGGCATTCTTCTTCCTTCGAGTGGTCCCCTCCAGCTGACAGCTTACTGTGATGCTGACTGGGGTGGTTGTCAATCTACCCCTCGCTCTACGTCCGGATACTTCATTACACTTGGTGGTGCACCTGTTTCCTGGCGCACGAAGAAGCAATCTGTTGTCGCTCGTTCTTCTGCCGAGGTTGAGTACCGCGCCATGGCTAGTACTGTCAGTGAAGTCATCTGGCTTCGCGTTCTTCTCCGAGATATGGGTGTTGTCAGCACTCATCCCACTGTTCTTCACTGCGACAACCAGGCAGCACTGCACATTGCTGCAAATCCAGTGTTTCACGAGCGAACAAAGCATGTTGAGCTTGAATGCTACTTTGTTCGGGACCATGTCACTTCTGGGGAGGTCCATCCTACAAAGATCTCTACCGAAGTGCAGCACGCTGATCTGTTCACCAAGGGGCTTGCTGGTGATCGGTCCCATTCACTCATATCCAAGCTGGGCATTTGTAACCTGCATGCCTCAGCTTGTGGGGGAGTGTAACGATAGTTAATTCTAGTTTGCAGTTGTATTAAGCCAAAGGGTTAGTTCTGTCTTTTCCCTCTTGGCCGCTGCTCGTGTACAACCCTAGGAGAGATTAGTTGATTAGGGTTTGTATAAATACATGTTGTAAAGTGATCTGCTGCAAGCTAAGAATAACAAAAACTGAGATAGCAAAGTTTCTCCGTGGAGTAAGTTCATTCACACCGAATGAGAAGAACCACGTAAATCCTTGAGTTGTGTGATTGCATATTGTTTCCTAAGATTATTTCATGGTATACCGGTAAAAAGACATTTCACATCGTCTTGGCTTGTGGGAACCCAGAATTGGGGAAATACATTTGGATACGGACTGGATAAGCCAATCCCACTGCTACCACCAGTCCACCACCAAGAACCTTCACTTCTCATCCAAATTCCAACTCCCCACGAAACCAACCAAAGGAACAAACACTGCAGACCTTCCTGAGGCCCAAAAAAGAGCAAGCTTCGACATTCCCCTGCCTCTGTCCATCATGGCTCTTTCCACCATTGCCGCCGCCGCCTCCTCTTCATTCCTCACCCTCGTTGCCTCCCCTGCATCCAAAAACACCACCACCTGCTCAATCTCCCATAATTTCGGGCCGCCCCCGCCGGGCAATTGCAATAAATCCTTGAGAGCAGCCGTGAACAGAGCAACCAAAGGTTCCCCTGCCATTTGTGAGCCGCTCCCTCCCGACAGACCCATTTGGTTCCCCGGCAGCTCCCCTCCCGACTGGCTCGACGGCAGGTACCTATACATATTCTCTTGTTTATTACATCTTCCTAATCTGAATCTATATCCGGTTCAATTTTGATAACACTGTACTAATACAATTCACTCTGTTTCGTATTGTGTCTCCACTCAAAACCCTAGCCTTCCGGGCGATTTCGGATTCGACCCAATGGGACTCGGTAAACACATTGAGCCCATGAAGAATCGAATTGGGGTTTGGCTAGCTAAATGGGTACGCTGTTTAAACTATAATTAGTGTCTTGGGTTGGATCGTTGTAAGCAGGTTCGGACCCGGAGCTGCTGAAATGGTTCGCCCAGGCGGAGCTGATGCACGCGAGGTGGGCGATGCTGGCGGTGGCCGGGATCTTGATACCGGAAGGATTCGAGAGGATCGGGATGCTGGAGAACTTCAACTGGTACGATGCGGGCGCCCGGGAGTACTTCGCGGACCCGGTGACCCTGTTCGTGGTGCAGATGGCCCTGATGGGCTGGGTCGAAGGGAGGAGGTGGGCCGACATGATCAACCCCGGCAGCGTCGACATCGAGCCCGTGCTGCCGCACAAGCCCAAGCACGAGGCCGACGTGGGCTACCCGGGCGGGCTGTGGTTCGATTTCTGGTCGTGGGGGACCGGGTCGCCCGAGCCCATCATGACAATGAGGACAAAAGAGATCAAGAACGGGCGGCTGGCGATGCTGGCGTTTGTGGGGTTCTGTTTCCAGGCGGTGTATACAGGGGAAGGTCCGATTGAGAACTTGATGGCTCACGTTGCTGATCCGGGTCATTGCAACATTTTCTCGGTAATAACACACTCTTTGTTGTTGTTGTTGTTGTTGTTGTTGTTGTTGTTGTTGTTGTTGTTGTTGTTGTCTGCTTCTTCTTAACTTGCTTCTTTAGTCCCTCGACTGATGTTTTCATTCTGCTGATTGCTTAATCTCCATCTTTGTTCTGGTCTGGTGGATCGAAACTGCTATCTGCAGGCTTTCACAGGTCGCTGAGAGTGACAGTGACAGGGCTGGCTGCTTAATTCTCTCAGTGGTGATCGCGCAAGAGAATGCTGTTTTTGTAGATATGTTCCCAAGTGTGAGCCCATACATACATTTCTCATATTCATTTGTTAAAGAGGGAGCGCAGCTATAAAAATCTATGTATTACATCCGATTTTGGGACTGCATATCTCAGTATCTCCCTTCTACTAATTCAGCAAACAAAATGTACTCCATGACATTCACAAGCCGAATTGGGAAGAGCGGTAGCTTCAAGTTTAGTAGAGGCTATTACATTGAAATTTTGATTTAAGGTTATAGTCATATAGTGTGAGTGTTAGTATGTAGAGAAAACATTAGAAAGTAGTAGGATGTGAGTTGTTTGCCCCCCACTCCAAAATAGAGATATAATAAGTTAATAACTATGGTCTATGAGAAGTTGTTGTAGTTTGTTCCTGGGTTAATACCCTAGTTTGGCCCGAAGTTTAGCGTTAGTGATAGGGATGGCAACAAAATCCGAACCCACGGGTATCCATCCGACTCAACCCGGTCAACGCGGGTAAAATCCGTGTTGACAGGTTTTGGGCTGGGTTCGGGTTTAAACCCGCTACACTATTCACCGGGTTGGGTTGGGTTTGGGTTTAGGTAAACCCGACCCATGGGTACCCGCCCACACACATATAATTACTTTCCCGGTATATTTAATATTCTAAATAATATATTTTCCTTAAACAATTAATATTCTTTATGTTTGTGGAGACATGTATAATTTGTTCTTTCTAATTGTTTAGAATGAAGTTGATATTATGAAGTGGAGAGTGAAGAAACTTAGTTGACGAGGAAGAAGCTTTCAATTAATCTTTTGTTTAAAGATGTTTATCTTTAATTTTGAACAATTTGTATTGATCATTTGCGGTTTGCTTGTATGCTCTAGATGAGTGTTTTTTTGTATGATTAATTTGTATGACAAAATTGATGTTAAACTTTTATTTTGAAAGAAACTTGTTATTGTAAATTTTTTACCACAAAAACCCACGGATACCCAGCGGGTTGGGTTGGGTTTGAGTTTTTCAAACCCAACGGGTTTTACCCCGGGTTTTTTTGGCGGATAAACCCATGGGTTTGGGTTTGACAAAACCCGCCCCAACCCGACCCATTGCCATCCCTAGTTAGTGACAGTTCTGGCCCCATTTTTCAAATAAGACGTTTACGACCTACTTTTGAAATTATTAGATAGATTTGGCCTGAGAGACGGTTTGACCGTCATAATTGACGGTCAACCATTTTTTGCGTCATTTTTGCGTCAATGACTCAGCATTTGTTGCTCACTACACTCGTCCACGTCATTTAAAAATTAAAACATGAAAAAAAACTAAAAAAATAAAACAATGACAGAAACCCCTATTCTTTTGCCGATCAATTTAACTTCCTCCGATAATTCCCACTTCCATCGCGAGTTCGCCACCGCAAATCTCCTCTGCCACTACTTGAGTTCTCCGACCCACCTCTTTCACTCCACTACCGCCGCGGCCATTCTCCGTCACGTCCCGACTCGCCATCCTTATTCACATCCCCCCGCCATCGTACATCCTCAAGAGTCCGCCTCTCTTTCGATCGGTTCGTCTTCTTGTGGATTCTCCAAAAATACCATCTCCAAAAATCCATGCCAAATCCCCAAACCACAACGAAAACAGAAACCCCAACCCCATATGGGAGGCGAGCGGTAGCTGTGAGTGGTTGTGGCGTTTCACGGCGGTGGGAGAAGATGAACGAAGACAAGTAGAGGTTGAGGCAGTGGGAACGGTGGATTCCGCGAGTTTGGAGCATCAGTGAGTTGTCGTCAATTTTTCGCCGGAGAAGGGATGCCGCGAGTAGCAGGGGAGGCTGGGAAGGCTCGAGTTTTTGTCTACTATCCGCCGCTTTCTGACAGAAAAGAGAGGTCGCAAATGGAGGGAGTCTGGGAAGAAATTCCATTTAGGGTTAGGAAGGGAGGTCCCAATTCCCAATTCCCAAATGTTGTGGAGGGATTTTTTTGTTATTTTCCTTTAATTTTTATCTTAATTGAATTGTAAAATGTCAGCTCGGAGAGTGCGAGGAAGGTGGAGGAAGCTAAAGCGGATGGAGGCTAGAAGTCTGGTCGAAGAAGAAGAAGAAGTAACGGAAGAGGCGGCAGACTGCTGTTGGTCGGAGAAGGAGGAGGCGCCGCCCTCCTATTCACGATTAACGATTTAGGGTTTGCATTTGGGGATTTTGGGCTCATAAATGGATTTTTTTTATTCTGTTAATTTTTATTTTAATTGAAATATAAAATTAAAATAATATGTTTTAATGACGTGGCATGCCACATCAGTGGTTTTTTGCTGAATCACTAACGGAATAGTGTTTGACCGTTAATATTAACGGTCAAAGAAAATTTTAGGCCAAATTTGTCAAATAGTTTCAAAAGTAGGCCATAAATGTCTTATTTGAAAAATGGGGCTAGAACTGTCACTAACGCTAAACTTCGGGCCAAACTAGGGTATTAACCCTTTGTTCTTTGGCAAAATACATCTGTATAGCCATAACTTTCACACTTTTGACAAATATAGTCATTACTATTCGAAAACCACAAATAGCCCAAAATACGGAGGGTAGTGTGACAAATCTAGCCAAAAACGTTAGAAACTTTAACACCGTCTACCGTTCCGTTAAATCGTTTAACGGAACGCTGACGAGGACAGAATCCGACCTCCACATGATTGACACTTCAACAAAATGTTCACATGGAATGCCACGTGTAGAATAAAAAAAATTAATATATGCTTACTTACCCCCCTTCTCCTTCCCTACAACCCAAAAAACAAATTCTCACGATTTAGGGTTCGCACTTGGTGGAGACGACGCCGCCGCTCAAGACCACGTCCCCTCCGTTCGAGACAACGACGCCGCCGTTCGAGACCACGATGCCACCGCTAGAGACCACGATGCCGCCGTCATTCAGTCCTTTTCTGCTCGCGCATCTGCCGTTCCGAAATCCCCATCATCTTCTCGATTTGCAGCGATGTCACAGTGGGGCTCTTCCTCAGCGACCAACCTCAGCAGGTGTGGGACTGTGCTTTGCAAGCACAACATTCCCGCCGTGATTAAGACGTCGGGTACCGAGACTAACCCATGCAGGCAATTTTATGGATGTCCTTATTGGAAGCAGGTAAGGGATAGATTGATTGTCGAGTTATTTCGGTCCCTTTGAGTGTTCTTACCTCTAACTATACCATATGGATAGTGCAAAATGAGAGTGAAAATCCAGGGAAGAAAAATTGTCGGTTTTTTAGGTGGGTTGAGATGGTTAGGCATGAAATGGAGGACCGAAAGGGCTCTATGGAGAGCCTAATATGCCAACTCGAGCTCAATTTGCTCCTCGCTGAGTCTAAGGCAAAGAGGAGGAAGAAGGAGAAAAAGACCCTAGCTCAAGATATGATGGTCTGGATGAAAGATCGTGAGACTCTGTTAGCCCAAGGAAGGAGATTGAATGATGATGTTCGATTTATTCGTATTATGTTAACAATTCTTCTTGTTGTGAATGCCTCTTTCCTTCTTGTTTTGTAGGGATACGAATCTGGTATGTAATGGTTGTCTGATGTAATGGTTGTCTTTCTTGTCTAATGTTAACAATTCTACCTGTCTAATGCAATGGTTGTCTTTCCTGGATGGTAAGATGTTGTTCAAATATCGAGTGTTTGTAAAAGTGAGGATAGCTTGAATTCAAAATACAAGGTGCAATATACTACCAAACACTTCCACATTACACAACCATTTGCTCCTACAATACAATATATAATCCGAATGGAGCACAACCATCTGTTCCTACAATACAATATATAATCCGAATTTAGAGACAGGCATTTGTTCCTCACACAGCCTAATTTAGCACCCCAATACATAGCATGAGTAGAATTCAAGCTATCCTAACTTCAAGTCTAACTTCAAGTCGACAAAAATGGGGTTGACAAATGGATCCACCATGTTCTACAACATCTACGGTTGAGTAACTGGTGGCTGGCTCCACTGGACATCCACAACAGCTTGCTGACTGTTCCCTGGAGGACGCCCAACAGCTCCATTGAGTTGTAATCAGAAGAACCAAACAGATTATTTAGTTCACAGTTTGGACAAAAATCATAGAAAGCTCGGCAAAAGAATCTAGGTTCAGCATTCATAAAGTCTGTGAAAGGTGTAATCAGTGTGTCTGTACCTTGGATCTCCTCCATTTCCTTAGTGGCATTCTTGAGTCGACTTCATTGCAAGCATAGACACACTTCCAGAATAATTTTCTTACCCTATCCGTCTTGTTCTTCACCTTCCAGTTGTCATAAACGTGCCATGCGCACTTGCGATGTTCAACATCAGGTAATAGCTCACGTAGAGCCTCCACCAGAACCTTACCAAAAGACAGAATAACATTAAGTCGGATATATAACAAAGTAAAACAATGGTATGATGATGAAACATGAATTAGTGGAGTTTATCTTCTGTTGGTCAGAAATAACAGACCAACCTATTCCATCCAGCATGTTCTTCTCTTGAGACAATATATTGATAAACCACCTCCACGAATCTGCATTCTCACTCTCAACAACAGCCCAAGCCAGTGGATACATCTGGTTGTTTCCATCCTTCCCAACCACAGTCAACAATATTCCCTTTACCTCTCCCTTTAAAAAACAACCGTCCAAGCCAATCATTGGTTGACATCCATCCACAAACCCATCCCTCAAGCATAAAAAACCAACATACAGCCTCTAAAAATAAACTTTGTCTTCAGAAGGATGTGGTTGAACCTCCAAGACAAACCTCCCATGTCGATCCCTCTTCATCATTTCAGCTATATAGCTTCTGATTGCCTGAAACTCAGCCTTCAA